GAAAGACTTTAGGTGATAAAAATCATTCCTTTTTTCTGACACCGAAACAGATAAGAAGACCTTACATTGACTGCAACTGCCACTGAGCGTGAAATTCCAGCACAGCTCTTCTTTCGCCACCAAATCGGAAGCAAGCAYTGCCAAACGAAGCGTGACGACTCAAGTTGCAGTCGRCAGCCAAATATTATATAAACTTKCATATGCGCAGACATAAACTGTTTATAAAGCGTATGCATTCAACATAATAAATTGAAAATACCCAGTAGAGAACTGCATCGGACCACCAAGCAGTGCTAGKTACGAGAATTTGAAAACATTTTTATGTAATCAAAGTGGGTGCATCGTACAAAAACAGTAAACGTTGGTCTGCAACCAGCATTTGAGAGAAGCCTTCTGGGCCAGAGTGGAATGCAAAAGCTCCATGGGGTTATCATCTCTCAACAAGTTTCACACGGTCGCCATGGTCGGTGTCCTAACTGGATACTGTCTTATTGGATAGTATGTGATGAGGCTAATGATTTTAGGGGAATTAATTTGTCGAATTTACAAAGAAGAATGTAAAGTGGAAGTATGTAAATACTTTCTCCTTAATTGCATCCCTTTTGATAGGCTAAAGTTCAAGCACCTTGATTGACATCATTTCTACGAACACGGCGAGAAATATTCAAGTCCTCACGAAAACCAGACTATTTGCCTAATCCAACTAAGCTAAAATTCGGTGCATAACATTCAGAGTCGGTATTTGGGAGTATAAGTACCATTTACCAAGTGAAAACTTCAGTAGGAACTGAAAGTGTGCCCATTAAGTTTTTCGCAAGTTCAAAACTTCCATTAATGTTTTAATTCCGAATCGATACATTTTTGCTTCAATCTCTTAAAGTGTTGCCGGCAGGGTCATTACAAGTGCACTAACACCGTGATAATTCAATCTTTTTTTGAATGTGCGCACTTCCGCTTTCGCGACTTCGATTTTCCATGCGCTCCTACTGCGGGTAAACAGGATAATTACGACAATGTTAAATGCAGCGATAAGAATGGGTTCAAAATGCAACATTGAAGTTGACGTCAGCGGCGCAGTCATGTACTCGTCTTACAATATTTCTTTTCTTTTGGGAGGGTTGGGTGTGTGTGGAGTTAAAGTAAAGAGGACATGTATATTTGGTTAAAAGCAAACACAAAGTGAACGCTTTGATTTCAACTGAGTTTACTTTGCGAAACTATCTTCTTCTCGTAGATATTGAACTCTTGCAGAAGAAAATGCATTCAAGCTTATGTCATTTGTGCGCTTTTTTGCTTCTTTAAGTGATAAGTTCTAAACAAAGTGAATTTCTATTTCCAGATCAGTTACCAGCAATCGCTTGCGTTGGATAAATGAAACGGATTTGCCGAGAAATTTACAAACGGTTGATTTTCGTGCGAATCCGCTTTCCATAATCATGCCGAAAGCTCTGCGCGGCATGACGAGATTGCGAAAATTGTGAGTAACAACAACAGAACGTTTATAACAAATTTACAAATGCATTAGTGTAAGTATGCACGGCTTAATTTACTGTTATTTTTGTATAATTGTGTTAGAATTCTATCCGATGTGCGTTCACTCAAGGTTTTCCCCGATCTCGACGGCTGCTTCTCATTGGAGGTTATAAAATTAGATCGCGCCGGTATCAAAGAAGTGCCCGCCAATTTGTGTCGTCAAACACCAAGACTGAAAAGCTTGTAAGTTCCTTAAGCCGATGAATTCAAAAGTTTTTACTAATGATCTAGCTTACTAAATTGTTTTAAACTTTTTTGATTTCCTTTCAGAGAGCTAAAAACGAATTCCTTAGTGCGCATTCCCACTTTAGCCAATTGCAGAGAATTAAGACTGTTGTAAGTACTAAAATCTTGTCTTCCTTAAATATTAATTTTAAGCTACCCCTTTCTTTTCAGAGATCTTTCGAGTAATTACATTGAGTCTCTTAGTGGGCGACCCTTCGCCGGCCTTAAACAACTCCACGATTTGCTGCTCTCATATAATCGCATAAAAGCGATACCTTACGATGCCTTCTTCGGCATACCACGTTTACAGTTGTTGTATGTATACACAATTTCGAAGTATTTTGCTCTAGTTTCACCATTTTTATAGCATATTGTTTCTAGATAATTCTGTAATTTTTTTTTTTTTTTCATTTCATACAATTTAATCAGTTTCGTTTTTATTTTGTTCCGCGCGTCATTACTCTCACTCTCTCTTTCACACCATTTCGCATCACTTAACTCATTTTTGCCGCTTTCTCAACATCCACGCTCATTCATTTCACACTGCTTTACTCGGTTTCTGTCTTACCTTTTCTAACTGCCTTTCTTTTTATTAGAGACTTAGAAGGTAATGAGATCACCGCCATACACAAAGAAGCCTTTATGCCTTTCGCCAAGTTGGAGGACCTAAATTTGGGCAATAATATTTTTCCCGAGCTGCCGTCGGCTGGCCTAGGCAAACTGCTGCATTTAAAGACTTTCAACAATCCGAAGCTGCGTGAGTTCCCTGCGCCAGACACGTTTCCACGCATTCAAACGCTTATACTTTCGTACGCCTACCATTGCTGCCCTTTCATACCGTTAGTGGCGATGTCGGCGGCCAAGAAGCCCCCACTTGTACAAGAAGCTGTGCTCTTTCCATCCGATTCGGAGTTTGACATGAGCTTGTGGAACAATAGTATGATGGATATATGGCCGCAGCTACGTCAGTGATATTTACACGCGTCTAACATTTTCCTATTATAAAACATTTTCTCTTTTACAGAGAATCTCAGCAAAAAGTTTGGCAATCAAATGCACGACATTTGGGATAATTTCGGTCAGGACTTTAATTATCCCGGAAATATACCAACTTATGTCGAGGAATACTTCGAGGAAGACGGCACAGGCACGACGACGAGCTCAATGAGCATGAGCAGCAGTTTCGCCGGCTTCAGCAATGGTCTCTTCGGCACGATGGACATTGACATAGCACCAGGCTCCATACAATGTCTACCAATGCCCGGTCCGTTTTTGCCCTGCTCCGATCTCTTCGACTGGTGGACTTTGCGTTGTGGCATTTGGGTTGTTTATCTGCTGGCATTGCTAGGTAACGGTACTGTTATTATAGTGCTGTTATTCTCACGTTCGAAGATGGATGTGCCGCGCTTTCTGGTGTGCAACTTGGCTGCCGCAGATTTCTTAATGGGCATTTATCTCGGCACTTTGGCCATTGTAGACGCTGCCACATTGGGTGAGTTTCGCAAGTTTGCCATTCCCTGGCAGATGTCGCGAACGTGTCAGTTTTCTGGTTTCATGGCAGTGCTGTCGTCAGAGTTGTCGGTTTACACGCTAGCGGTGATTACCCTAGAGCGTAATTATGCGATAACCCACGCGATACATCTCAATAAGCGCCTATCGCTGCATCAGGCCTCATATATCATGGCTGCGGGTTGGACTTTTGCGCTAATCATGGCTACATTGCCGTTGTTGGGCGTCTCCGACTATCGAAAGTTTGCTGTGTGTCTGCCGTTCGAGACCACAACCGGCGTGGCTAGTTTGACGTATGTCATTGCGTTGATGTTTATTAACGGTTGCGCCTTCCTGACACTTATGGGCTGCTATTTGAAAATGTACTGGGCCATACGTGGCTCACAGGCCTGGAATAGCAATGACTCACGCATAGCAAAACGAATGGCTTTACTTGTCTTTACCGATTTTCTTTGTTGGTCGCCCATAGCTTTCTTTTCTATCACTGCCATATTTGGTCTGCAACTAATCACATTGGAGCAGGCCAAGATCTTCACCGTATTCGTACTGCCATTGAATTCGTGCTGCAACCCTTTTCTCTATGCCATCATGACGAAGCAATTCAAGAAGGACTGCATAACGCTGTGCAAACACTTTGAGGAGACGCGTGTTACGCGCGGTGCAGTTGCCGCCAACACAGCACTAGCCGGTGGACTGAGCCGGCGAGGCGGTGTGCGCATGCCGAAAGAACTGCCGCCTTTGCTGCCCGCCACACATCCGCCCGGTTGCCGTTGCTTGCGCATGATGCCCAATGAAATGCCGAATTGGCATAAATTACAAGAGCGCGATCAACGGCGTGACTCGTGGATTTGCTTAACGTGGCATCGCTTAGCAATCTGCTGCCATTGCACCGATCCAGACGACGACGATGACGTATTGACACCAGAGCGACGCCGTCTCGACGGACGCCGGACACGTAAAGCGAACAAATCGAATCATCGTCATGCGCGTACACGTTCGCACAATGCCAATACCGAACCGTACCTTTATCAGTTCGCTGAGCTAAAGCAGAAACAGAAGCAGACACGCGCCAGCTCAATATCTAGTGAGAATTTCTGTTCGTCACGTTCATCTAGTTGGCGCAATGGCCCACCATCGGCGGGCGCGCTGCCGCACACTTGTAACATACCACTCAAGATGATGGATCCGAATCGGCGAAGACATTCGGCGTGGCTGATAACACGAAAAACATCGCAAGACTCGAATTTGTCGAGCTCACGCAATGACAGCTCCGCTTCAGCCACAACGGCGAGTACGTCCACGTTCCGCTTGTCGCGTTCAAGTGCGGGCAGCACGACGCCGCTGCCGTCAATCATGGGTGAGTAMTTTACACGTTGAACRCACTTGCTATTTAATTACACATCTTTTTGCATGTCTCAGCGCACAGCAGCAAATCACAGCAACAGCAACTGCAGCAACACGCGTCAATGCCCGCCAAGCCACGCCTTGTGCGCCAAGAGGCCGTGCAAGAGGAGGAAGACTCATCGCCACCGCGTCTGGGTGTGCGTTTTTTGCCGACCATACCTTCAGCGGCTGATAGTTCCATTGTCATGGAAGATGGCGATTCAGCCATGAATGTCGCCAGCGTCATGGGTATGCCACTGCCGGGCGCAGCAAGCGGCTTCTACACTGTGCTGCAGGCGCAGAGCGGCGGCGCCGCCAAAACACTGCTCACCACCGCGACGAGTCCACCCAAGGAGGCACAACCGCCATGACACTGCTTCGTGTTCGGCAGCGGCGATAAACACAAATCGGTACCACCAATAATTGATAACAATGTTAAACGTTGTTGTTGTATTAGTGAGGCATTTCTTTGACGCTTTTATTGCACCGTAGCTTTCCAGTACTCTCTTCGTGCTGCGTGTCGGGCTGTATGTGCATAACGCCGTTATGCTTTGTTTCCAGTTTAAAGAGCTAAAAACTTGCATATTGCCTGCGGCGGCCATGTAATGCGTATAGAGTAGTTACGATTATTTATAAATTATTGTTTAAGTACAACAATTACAAAAACATGTAGGTAGTCAATTTGTACAGTAGCCGTTAGAAATGCGTGTTTGTATGTTTGTACTTATATAGTTAGCCCTAAGCTGCTCAAATGATGACTCAGATTTATCGTTTGAATTACACAAGTTGTTGGTATGTATGTATATATGTATGTAATGCTGAGTGCTAAGCGCGACTTATTTGACTAAGCTGCGCGACGTGTTTAGCTTTCTTCTGCGCACGTTATCACGAAATGTTCGCATCAGATTCCCCTTCCTCTCATTTGTGTACTCATATTTATAGTTAAAGTTGTTCTACAAATAAACAATTATTTCCAACCTTTACTGGATTTATATTGTGGTCCACAATGTCATATTTAGTCACGTTAACGAGTGTGAGAAAATCGAAAGCTTATGAAATMTTTTGTTATTCTMTAACATCSATATATATGTACGTRTATATCGTCACTTAAAATGCAAAATAACGTAACATCACTGTTAATAAGTTTACATGTGAGGAAAATCGATATAACATAGGGTAGTCTAAAAGGTATTTTCGTATTTTGTATTTAACAAGTTAATAAGTTTTGTGATTTGTTAAGAAAAACACAATTTTATGATTCAAAATACACTTTAATATTCAGCATAATCTCAATGAATATTAATACACTTGCTCCAACGATCCGCCAATATGTTGATCCCATCCCTGAAGTGAGAATCCGGAAGGTCTGCAAAATACTCCTCAACAGCCTCTTTATTTGATGAAAACCGGATTATAGCCGTTGTCATAATGCTCTTCTGACACGGCGCATTGTTCTGATGAAAAAGATTTTTTTCTTCTGCAAATCGTGTATTTTTTCACGATTTTTTCCTTCAACTGCTCCAGAAATTTGCAATAATTCCGAATATTTGTTTTAGCAGTTTGCAAGTAATCCCAAAAAATTGATGCCATAACCTTTTTGGTCGATTTCCGGACACGAAGTACTTTCGAAGCCGAACAACCAGTTTCACATCACTCTTTAGCCTCTTGTTTTGATTCAGGATTATGACGATAGATCTAAGTCGCATCTACAATGATGAATCGACTCACAAAATCCACTTTATCTGTTTTTAAATGTTCCAAATGTTTGATTCAGGATTATGACGATAGATCTAAGTCGCATCTACAATGATGAATCGACTCACAAAATCCACTTTATCTGTTTTAAAATGTTCCAAATGTTGATGAGAAAGTCGCATTCGAATGTGTGTTTGTTCCGTTGTTAGCGAATGCAGCAACCATTGTGAACACAGTATTCTAAAATCCAAAATTTTACTTAAAATATGGCTCACACTGCCTAATGAGAGGTGTAGAGCCTCTACTAAAACTCTCTCAGTTAATCGACGACCTTCCAAAACCATATCCTGTGTTTCGGTCTATGATTTCTGGTGTTGATGCCTTTTTGGGTGAACCTTCACGTAAATCGTCTTCAAGGCTTTTACGACTACATTTAAGTTCAGTAACCCATCCTTCTTTTGTTCCAATTGTAGGTGAACAATCATTATACATTTCCAACATTCGTTCGTGAATTTCTTTTGGTGATACACCTTCCAAAAATGGGAATTTTATCACGGCACGATATTCAATTTTTTCCAATGTAAAACGATACTATGACACGACCACGCAATGAAGCTTCACGAAGGGCGTACCAGCAAAACAAAAACAAATTTGGCCTAGTAGCAACGCCCTCTCTAAACGAACGACAAATATTATTGAATAACTTCATAATATATTTTAGTCGAAAAAGTCTTTTCGTATTTTGTCAATAGATGTCGTTGCAATCCGATATCTCCAATGATATCAACTATAGAAGCCCCTCATATTGAACAAAATTAGAGTTTTGGTTATTAAATGGTTATATATTGGATATATTGGTCAGCGGATGCTTCCCATTTTGCGATATAACGTACTATATATAATATGAAATATTGAAAAAACTCAATTTCGATTTTCTTGCTGATACGTTATTTTGCATTTCAGGTATCGACATACATACATAATCTGATATTATCGTTTGCAGTGTGCTTGTAATAATGTAAAATAGCTGTAAGTCTAAAGTGATAGTATTTGTAAGAAATACTTAGTCATAAGCAAGGCTAAGTATAAGAAAAAGTGAATTAAATGAAATAAAAATATAAACAAATACTTATTTATGTGTACATGCAAACAAAAACCAAAAAACACAGAAAAAAAAAACACAAAAAAAAAAAAGCAATGAGAAAACCCTGAGTTTACTTATCGCATATTCTTGAATGAATTGAATTTCAGTATGTTTTGTAATGCCCGCACGAGTTCAAGTTCAAGTGCGCTTATTTTTATCACAGCCCAAATATTTGGAGGCACTAATTCAAACTTGGCGTCTTGTGGAATTAATTAGGAGAAATACGCATATGAAGAATCGGAGACTTTATAAAATATATACAGTTGCAGTAAAATTCTTAATAGTGATAGGCGTTCTTTTAATATACAGCACTCGAAAAAGTCTTTTCGTATTTCTAAATAAACTTCATCCTAATTTTTTTCATATTTATATTAATAAATAAACAAATATCTACCATTTTGGTCGACCACTTTTTGCCATTTTTCCGCTCAAGACATTCTTACATCAGTGTAAATCGAAATTTCGAAAATTCCAGAACGGAAGCGACTGAACCATTGCTGTATTATGCTTCACGAACTGGTACAGCTTTGTCTCCGTAAACTTCACATATTTCATTGGTGGCTTGAGTAGCATTCTTTCTTTTTTTGTAAACAAATTTCAAAACATAGCGAATTTCTTCTTTATTTTCACTCATTTTTTAACAACTATAACTCTTTTTCAACTTTTCCGAAATCATTTTTTTTTTTTTTTTTTTTTTGGTTGGTTAAATGAAACTTAAATCTCAAAATCTCAACTTTTCTACAGAATATGGTATGACACAATGTGATTCGTAGCATGGAGATATACGACCGCAACGACATCTTTTGACAAAATACGAAAAGACTCTCTCAGTTAATTACCCAATATTATTAGTTGCTCACTCACAATGTTACGTGACACTACCAAGTACGCAGTGGAAAGAAGTCAGCAATGTGAGCGAGAGAAATCAATTTCATTGTCAAAGCAGATTTCATTTGCGGCTGCTACAGAGAAAAGAAGCCTTTCATGTAGCTGCAAGTATTGAGTGTCAACAGTCCAAGAAAAGTGCCGTTATTGTCTAAAACGTATGTTGAACGAAGAATTCGATTCGCCAAAGAACTTTTAAATTGGTCTTGGACAAAATGGCGGCACATTTTATGATCAGACGAATCGAAGATTGTTAAGTATGGAGGGAAGAGTATAGCGTGATTGGGTAAGACGTCCACTCAATACCGAATAATAGCCGAAATATACAACAAAAAAATGGTAAAACATGGAGATGCGGGAATCATGGTTTGGGCTTGCTTTTCTTGGCAAAGCGTAGGATCCAATTATTGGAAATATGACTGGAGATTCGTATGTCGAAATAGTGCAGAAAATCATGCTGTCGTATGCTAGTGAAGAAATGCCGCTTGTTTGGACGCTCCAGCAGGACAGCGATCCCAAGCACACAAATAAAACTGCAAAAAAATTGTTTTTAGGAAAGGAATGTCAAGGTAAAAGAATTGCTGTTACAGTCCCCTGACAGCAATCCCAACGAAAATTTGCGAACCGACATCAAGGGATCAGTAGCCCGATGTAAGCCGTCATCGACCACGCAACTATGGAATGCTGTGAAGGACGCATGAGAGTTTATTTCCATCGATAGACGCCAAAAACTGGTTGACTCAATGCCACGACGCTGTCTTGCAACACTAAAAAAATAAAGGTCACGCAACTAAATACTAATTTCATAAAGAGACATTTGATAATTTGAAAAAAAAAAAAAATCCTTCTATCGAAATTTCGTGTTTCATATGTTACACCACTAATTTTTTGACCGCCGAAATTCCTCATAAACTTTTTAAAAAATTTATAATTCATTAAAATTGCTTAAACAATGAATTTTTTTTTTTTTGATTTGTTTTACATCCTGTTACAGCTTATCAAAGTTGTTGCTGTTTCTTTATTATTTAACCTTCGGACGTGCATTTACAGTTTAACTTGTCGCTATAAAGTTAAGTCGAATGACAAGACTAAATGGAAATTTATGTTTTAGGTTTCTACGAAAACTTTATGCACAGTCGTAGAGAAAATCTAAACTGAACTTCTACCAAACTTTTTTAAACTTAAAACCACTAAAAAAGCACTTACATAACTTAAAAAACTAGGCATCTTGCTTGCAACACTCGGCAGATTAACGTTCATTTATCGCGGTATCAACTCAAGCAAATTCCAGAGCCATCTGCAGAAACTCTTCAATGCCTTTCAACTTTTCCTCATTAGTTTTACTGGTTTTAAGATGCTCATACAAATCACTCAGATGCCGGTGCTCCGTCTGCTGAGCCTCGCTTAGCGAAGCCCAAAACTGTTCAAAGGCTCTGCTGAACCTCCGCACCGCATTATCAACAGCGTTGCGCACATGAAAATGCATTTCGAGCAATTGGAATTTATCAAGCACTTTACTCAAGACGTCAACCTTAATGTCATCGTCTTTGCGCTCGGCTATGTTGTCAAATTCTGCATACAAATCGCCGATGTCGCGTATTAGTGCTGATCTGCTTTCCAAGGAGGTATCCTTCAAACGCGCCAATAAGCTCGTCAAGCGTGGTGTAAGCTCTCGTATATAGTCGTTATCCTCGGGCAGCGCTATCAGCGATTTAAGCACGCCATCGACAAAACGCGCAGTCTCCGTTTGGAGCGTGTCGAAGTATTTTTCCACGCCATCGAGTGTTGCCACAATCACCGGCTCAAGCGCTTTGATGAAATTCGCCTCGCTTGAGTTAGTAGTATTTACTTTTGTGTTGTCCACCGCCGTCTGGGCCGTAATATCGCTCGGCAGGGGATGCGCGACGATAAGCTGCTAGGAAAAGCAAATTCTTTATTATAGCTCTATGCCTAACTTTTCACTGTTTTTCACCTGGAGCGTTAAGTATAGGCAAAGGAGCAGCAAACCCGTTGATTTTCCCATATTTCTTAGATTTCTGTTTCGCAACCGTTCTGAGGCAACTGTGAGGTGTACTGTTAAACAGCATTGTTTATATATGTATACACTCGTTGTTGAAAGTAATTTAAAAACGACTCGCTTATTCATAATTGTTTCATACTAAATACGAGCTCTACTCAGAAATACTTAAACACCTTACGCCCATTTTGAGTTCTCTAACAGGTTTTAAGCTGTTAGACATGCATTATTATTGTAATAGCTGATAAAGCGAGAAGTAGTCGAATACATGCAAGTATTACACAAGTTTCTTCGAAGTCGACTCTTAATGAATATAAACAGTTAACTAATTATCTGGAAGACGACAGATGTTCAGAATATATTGTCTGATGTTAGAAAAACATTTTGCAATATTAATTCAAATAAAATTGCAGAAAATATGTATTTAGAGGCCTGGAGGACTGTGAGATAATTCGATAAATGCCCCTCATTGACTCATTGAGATCTGACAACAGAAAATACTCACAGGTGCTCGCTCTTGCGAATGATCAAAGTGAATGAGAAAGCAATTTGAAGCCCAATTTTTCTCCATCGATTTCACTAGCTTGTGACACGATGCATTTAATTTATTTATTGTGAAACAGCGCTTTTTTTATTTCAAATGCAGCCATTTCGTTCTTCAAACGGTCCAATAGTACTATGAAATAGTCGCTGTTGATGGTCCCTCCTTTTTAGTGCGCTTGGCTGAGGTGTGGTTACTGCTGGTCACACTTGGCATGATAATCTACTCACTTGCACTTAACGGTGAGTGCACGGTGAGAAAAGACAATCGACTTGTACGCATTTGTTGTAGAGGATACACTAAAGCTGAGAATGCAGCATCTTTAGAGACATTCCACATTCGATGATAGAGAAATTCGGAATGCTGTCCGTGATGAGCTCGTTATAATTATCGGCCTTATGGTTTCCAAGTAAATCATGTACTATTGCTTTAAGACTAATTCAAAATTTTTCTCCACATTGCTAACTAATTTCGCGAAAATATCGCACACCATATTTCTTTGCTTGATGGCCTAAAAATATTTCAGCTTTTATTTCCACCGCTAAAAGGTTTGAGAAAAGTTCTTTCCAATATTTGAACGCTTCCGACTTTTGGTTAAAAGCATTTGTTTTTTATTATACTCTTGCGTCCAGTTGCTACAGAGTATTATAGTTTTGTTCAGCTAACGGTTGTACGTATCACCAAACATTAATCAGGATAGATATAAGGTTGTATATATATGTATGTGACCTGGTCTATGGAAAGGGGGCTTAGGTGTCAAAAAATCAATTTTCACTTTTTAGTTGATTCGGATGGAAGATGAGATGCTTTTTTTTTTAACAGCTGTTTCCCTGAAAACTAGTTTTCGCACGTTAGCTCCCTTTTCGTAGACCAGGTGACATATATAAATGACCACGATGACGAGAAAGGTTGCAATCCGGTTGACTGTCCGTCTGTCCATCCATCCGTACAAGCATAAAATGAGTGAAAATATATCCCAAATAAAACTTGGTGTGCGGAACGCTTGGTGCAAACAAAACTACGTAATCGTAGATGCCACACCGACAAATCGACATTAACCGAAAACTTATAAAGTGCCATAACTAAGCGTAAATTAAAATATAAAACTGTAATTTGGCACATAGGATCACAGTGGTAAGGGGAACCTGTGGTCCAAACATTTTGAAAAAATGGGCGTGAGCTCGTTCTCTAATACGTTCAAAGTAATTATCTCCTAAACCACTGAAGCGACAACAACGAAATTTTCTTACAGTGCAAAAATGAGTGAAATAAGAAGATAACCCGGCTCCCTTTCCATACAAAGGTTCTATTAAAAACTACTAAAAGCACAATAAATCAATAACTAAATACCCCAGAAGCAGCATATTCTAACTTCAGGTTGGTATGAGAAGACAATTGGGGTGGCATCGCCCACTTTTTGGTGAAATTTATATATCTGGACCTAACGGACCGAGTTTCACAAAATTTACCGCGTGGCTATCTTCTCACATTCAGTRCGAAATCKKCCAACAACCACGCMTAGTTCCCATATAACATAATTTTGAATTCCATTTGATTCTTTGACTTTCCAGTACCCAAATCAGGAAGCAATTTGTATAACAGGCTAAAACTTTGCACTAATAATTTCTTTAAAGTATGCCAGTTTTGTCTAACTAAATTGTCTAAATGCTTTATTAACTTTTGTTTTCCGGCGGCTTATTACGCTTTTAGGTGCGAAAATACCAGAGTTGTGCTTTTATGTATATTGATATCAAAGATTAAAGGTGGTTACTGTGCGTATACATAAATGTCCAAAACTTTCCATGAAGTTTGGGTTGCTATCGACGAGCTTACGAAGGTGAGGTCAATATAAGATGACGCTCTTCCTTTCATAAATTTTTGCTTGTATCTTGTTAAAAGTTCATATCGCAGATTTTGAGTCTTTGTCTTCGATGCAGTTATTGTAATTTTTGGGGTCTTGTACGGTTCACTAAGTAATATTACGTCTGTGTTAAGGTCCGAGGCGGTTTTTGTCAGCAGTGCTTGGACTGCCGAACAGTGGTTGAGATT